TGTATTGATGCGTCCGCGCGCTTGAGATCCGCAATGTCAAGGGGAAACGCTTAAAATGTTAAGATCGCTCGGCCGTAATCGAACACCTGACGCGAACATTCCAGGAAATTGGCCCGAGATAGCCGGCCGCGCATAATGCTAATGGATGGATATTAATTTGACCGTGGCGAATACATTTTAACTAATCTCATGAATACCCGTCGACAAGGAAGAGACGACGAGGAGGAGGAGGAGAAGGTGGCGGCAGCGGGAAGCTGGCTCGCGCGTCAGTTCCGCCGATACAGAAAGCTCCAGGCATCACCGATGTCGACGATAAACGTAAAGATCGTTTGCGAAATCGCCGTTCCGATCATGGATTCCGCGGAGATGTTGCGACCGGGCAATTTATACCGGGAGGGATTTCATGCGGGGACAGTAATTGAGGGTGCAATAAGCAGGGAGAAGCTGTGCGCGTTTTAAAACACGGAGGATCACGGGGAACGGCGAAAAGAGCTTGCTCGTCTTCCCCTTCAGCGTTCGGGAATTCTCATTCCGTCGGGTTTTATTATTTCCAACTTTCGGTTAATTAAGGAAACTTGTAACTTTTATATATTAGACTGCCGCGATTATCGGCCGGGTTTTAAAGCCGTCAACTTTAAGGTAGTGTATCTCGGCACCGCGTATCGCTTCGTTAATTAGTGGCAATTTTCGCTGCTTCGCGTGCCATTTTCAATTCACCGTTTAAACCTTGCTTTTCTTCTGTCTTCGGATTGATATCCTTCGAAGAAGTAGTGTTGGATAATGGACTGTTTCATATAAATTAGTGAATTTTGCGATTTAGAAAGCTGTTTTGTGCGAATATAGCGGAGTGTCTGGTTTTAAACGTCAAAGTTTAAGTTAATGGAAAGTATAATTAAAGAGGAGTAGTATTACATCGAAAGATTTGAGAAATTTCCAACTAGTTTGTCATCAACGTTCTCATGATTCGATCGACGCTGTGAAACAAACATGACGGGCAGCCTTGACGGCGAACAGTGGTAAGATATTCAAATCCCAAGATGAACTATATTTTTCGTCACCTCGATGAAAACGGCCATTAATTCGTCGCACGAAATACTCGATATATCATCGAGCCGGTCGAGCGGGAGTTTTTCGGGGTTCTCACGCTACGGTCGCGCGTCTTTTCGACCCTCACCCCCTCGTTTCCTTTTTACGCGCGGCGTTAAGCCGGGACCACACTTAACCCACATATTTACATTGATTATTTTTTTAATTGCTACGAGTCACGCGACTATTAATAACCATTTCAGAAAAGGCTGCTGATCATAAAGCGTGGAATTTTAATGACACACAGTCGGCGCAGGCGTGGTACGCTCGCCGGAGCGCGCGCGCACACGCCGGTCACAGTCCCGCGTGCACGTCGAGGAGCATACATTTAAAGATTATAGGAACCTATAAAGCTTTGGCTGCAACCGGGGAAGAACATTTTGTAAAGCCGATTATTCGGTATTTCGAGATAGCGACTGAGTCCCGTCGGCCTTCGTCCGCTTCGTTTCTGAAGAGAACGGGGGAGGGCGAGCCTTTCTAGAATTCGAAACTCGCCGGCGTTCGGCCGAGGCGTTTACAATGCGTTTTGCAACTGGACGAATCATTGTCCCCCGGTCGGGATTGAACCTTCCGGTCTCCCGTTTCGCTAATCCGCCCTTTCTGCCGTCGTCGTCTTTTTGACGGGAACTCGCGCCCTTCCAGAACTAATGAAAAACGAAAACGGGGGTGGAGCGCCGGGAACAAGGGAAATTGTTCTACGCGGACGCGCGATTCGCGATTGTTCGTTCGGCATGGGCGTGTTTCGTGGAAACGAGGAGAAAATTACTCATTCGAGAAACGATGTCTCGGAATGATGTCTCCGAGCGGTTCTTCATTACATTCGAATATTTGTTTCAAATAGATCATACGAATGTTTCCTTTCAATCGTTGCAACGTTTCACATTTCTAGAATTACTTATCAAAATATGGTTAAACGTTTCGAACGAGGCAGTCAGATAATTATATTTATTTAGAATCGAATAGGTATGTTATTTTCAAACGAGTAATCATTTCGGTCGCAAAAAGCAATACCGTATCAGTAATTAAAATTAAATTCAAAGATCAATATTGTACACTGCAGCTTAATATCAAAAACCAGTATTGCTCGCGGAACATCCCGATAGAAAACGCAATTATACTCCAGCGGAACCCGCGAGAACGGTGTTTCCCGTCGAAATGCTACAAAAAAGCCCGCGCGAGCTTTCAACCGCCGTGGTTTCGCCGCGCCTGTTCGCATTTTCATTCTCCTGGGGAGACTAGAGTCGGACGCGAGACCGTTTAGGAAGGTGAAAGAAGGTTGAGGACAGGTGTCGGTCTCGTGTGTTACGCGGTTTCGCGCGGACGAAGACGCCACAGCCTCCTCCCCCTTCAACCCTCCCCCATCTCTCTCTTTCTCTCCACGCGACAATTATACGCGACGCCTTATTATAATCGGAGGCAGGTCTCGTTTAAAGCAGCTGGAACGACGGCACCGGGACGGCGCATAATAAGGGAGAAAAGAAGAAAGGAACCGCGGCGGTTGAATATAGGATTCTACATGGCCGCCCGGGCTCTCTGTTACTGGCCTAACCTCATTTAGTTAGAAAGTGTTTGCGCGACGAGACCGGTGCAAGATTTAATTGGAAACGCCTCGTGTCTATCGCTCTCCCCGGCACTCCGCGCTGAAACCACTCCGAGAATGTCATCCTCGGAGCCCTCCGCTCGCCCAGTAATTGGTCGCCTTTCTCGCTCCATCCGACAAGATTTTCTGGCGACCCTTGCAAACCGAGCCGAGTCTTCCTCCCTCGACCGC